GCATGGTTCTTTTCGTCTATGCAGACGGTCAATTTAGCTTAAGATGGTCTCGAGGTTGTCTTCATGCAGCTTAATTCATTGCTAATTCTTCCTATGTTTGATTTGCAGATTCTGTCGCAGTGCCTGCTTGTCAGTGAAGTGGATTGAAGCTCTGTATTTCCACTGTTTTCCTTTCGTCGTTGGCGCTTCTCAGCCTGGATGCTTCTAAATCTGCTCTCTAACATTATAGTTCTTTCCTTTGTCATTTTCCTCCATGTTTTCCTGTCCTCAGCTATTTCTTCCCAGATGCTAACATCTACTCCAAGCTTAGATAAGCTGTTTTTGCAGGTGTCTTTGTACCTCAATGTTGGCCTTCCTCTTGATCTCTTTCCCTGGGCAAATATATTATTTGTTTAATAAATTGTCACGCTTTCTCACTTTATAATTGACCGACCTTCTGCTGGGTACACAGAGAAGTCGCTAATTGAGCCATAAGCATTGATCAATCTTCCCACAGGACGACGCCAGGAAGGGGCTGGACGACCTGATCAGAGGCACCCTAAGTGACATGTCTCAGGGATCTGATCGCTACTTTTCCCACACTCTCTCCCGCAACCTTTTCCGTAATGGCGGCCGCAGCCTCGATCTGGTCTCCCTTAACATCCAGCGCGGCCGCGACCACGGACTTCCGCCTCACAATGACTTCCGGAAAATGTGTGGACTGTCCAGACTGAGCTCGTCGCCTGAGGCACCGCTGCTGGAAGTTTACGAGTTAGTATCGTAGAGGTCAAAGTGTACAAACCATGGTGTATATCGTGTGTCTAGGTATTGTAAGGCGTTTGACCAACGCTCACTGCAATGTAGTCAAGAATGGAACGTTCAGTTTTAACGCCTGCCTCCTATAGAAAACAGTCACGTGTAGGGCTAGTCTAGGAAACTCCCTCTAATAACCCGCGTTCAAGAATGCCTTATTGTGAACTCGAACAAAGATCATATTTGCTGTAGTCCAGATCTATGGTGCGTCCTTTTTTATAGTCTGGTTGATTGAGAACGTATATACCTCACTGAGGTTCGAGGTTCGAGGTTCGAGGCTCGAATCTCAACACGATACGTTGTATCAAGATACTGTTGAAAATGTCTTATCCCACTGACTCTGTTCTCTATGAGACAAACACTTGGTCGGGGGTCTGACTTATCTTAAGACGTCGCTTACGAACGTGCGTGCATTTCACCTATTCCGGCTTATAGGCCAGTCCTGACATTGACGGATAATAACCTCAAGCTGAAATGGTATCACCATTGTGTCGGCTTTCAGGGCAGGAGGCCTGTTGCTTCGACTCTCAGGTCCAACTAGGGCTGAGTGGGATAATATGTCCCTGCGAACGGAGATACTCGATTTAAACGATAAATTCCCTTTCTAAAATCGAACTCACATTAATGTCTCTGTGCGACGACAAAGCGGCCAACGTCAACACCACAGACACTGATGATTACATTGTAAGGAAATACAGTCATCTTTATTATATGCCATCACTTAAGCTTATAAAAAAAAATGTATACGATGGGTAGTAGTCCTTCTCCGTCATGGCATTTCTTGTTTTGTAAAATTATGTAATGCTTAAATCTCTTTTCAGAGATATGAACGACGTCGATCTCTTCAGCGGGGCATTGACGGAAGAGCATGTGGAAGGGGGAGTGGTAGGTCCCACTTTTGCCTGTCTTATCGCACGTCAGTTTCGGGACCTCAAGTTTGGCGATCGCTTTTGGTATGAGAATCCAGATCCACACACCGGTTTCTCAAGAGGTTTGTTGGAATCACGGGATGGTTTCATTGAGTTGCAGAGAGTGTACATTTTTGTCCTTTATTTTTCTTTCTTTTTTTTGGGG